GCTTGACCATTGGATGGCGGGTAGTACGGAGGTGAACGAACGTGTTATAAGTGCCTATCTTTTCAGGCGGTTGGAAAAGTGTGTGGGAACACCTTTCTTTGAACCGAAAATGGAGAGAAACGGTCTATGATCGGTATGCAGAGTGAAACGGCGACCATACAACAACTTGTGAGAACGCCGGATGGTGAATACTGAGACCAACGCTTCTTTTTCTCTATCTGTCCATATCGCTGTTCTGCTGCCGTTAGGGATTTCGACGCATGCATAATGGCCTTCTCCGATCCGTCTGGAAAGACTTGCAGAATGACGGCACCGACACCAAAAGCAGAGGCATCAGCTGCCACAACGATCGGTAGCTTTGGGTCGTAGTGGGTAAGTAGCAGATCAGAACTCAGCATCGTCTTTAGCTTGAAGAATGCTTCCTCGCATTTTTCTGACCAACACCAGGGGACGTCCTTTCCAAGCAACTGATTTGATGGGAGGTAGAATGTCGTGTAGAGAAGACAATAATGCCGAATAATAGCTGATTAACCCCAGAAAGGAGCGTAACGATGGGACATCCTTAGGAGGTGGCATCTGTTGTATAGCCCGATCAGAAGCGTCGAGGATGAAACCAAGATACTTCATTGTTGTCAGGAATTGACACTTCTCAGGACGGAGGGGGAGGCCATGGTCCTCAATGCGCAGCAAGACGGCATTGATCCGACCAAGAAGCTCTTCGGGTGAAACAACAACGATCAGCACGTCGTCCATGTATGCGACCACCTGGAATGCCAGAAAGGGTGGCATCCATCAACCGCTGGAAGGTTGATGGGGCAGTTTTGACGCCAAACGGGAGACGGTTGTATTGATGCAGCCGGCGGTGTGTGTTGATTGTCAACAGTGGGCGTGATTCTGATGTGACTTCAACTTGGAGATACGCTTCAGCAAGGTCGATTTTCGCGAAGAACTTTCCACCGTTCAGAACAGTGAATAGATCGTCGGGCACTGGTAGTGATAGTGGCGCTGTTAGAGTGCGGCATTTAGACCGGTTGGGAAATATGCACATATTTGGATGTCACCGTTGGGTTTCTTCACCACGGCGATTGGCGCCGCCCAGGCGGAGTATGATACAGGAGACAGTACGCCCTGTTGTTCTAGCCGTTGAAGTTCGGCATCTACCAGTATGATGGAAGCGTACGGCACTGGCCTCTGGACGAAAGACTGGCGTAGCATCTGGCAGGAGGTGGAGGACTGCTTGTGTCGCAGTGCACTGACCGAGACCGAATTGGAAAAGTATTGAAAATCGCTTGATGAAGTTGGATGCATGATCTGGATGCGCCGTGGGAGACTGGACTGCGTTGCAAATGACACCGATTAGAATGTCAGCTAATCCCAAGCGATCGAACCAACCAAGACCCAAAAAGTTCAGCTCAATTGCCGTTACACAACACGATCGCATGGGGCTTATCGAAAATTTTCAGCTCTCCAGCGAAGGCACTGGTAGCAGTTCGAGCAACTTGTGTGATTGGAGGTCGCCCGAGCGTCTGCCAAAGCTTCCCCGAAACATACTAATATCCGACGCAGTGTCCAACTGCAGACGGAATGCATGATCGTTGACGGTGACTGTGAGATGCTTTCGGTGCTCTGGGGTGTTGATCTGAGAGAGGAGCCAACAGTATTTGATTTCGGTTTGGAGTGGACGCGTGGTGACGGCTTTGAAGAACCGGAGGCCGTATGCATCCGCGACTGATAATACCCATTTTTGTGTCCCACGGACTTACATTGGCGGCACCGATGATGCTTGTACGAACAGAGCCTGACGAAGTGCCAGGCTCCACAGTGCCAACATTGTGAAGGTGCTATCTTCTTTGGGCCTTTGTTTTGCTTCGGACCAGAATGCTGTGTGGCCGATTTGGTCAAGTCGGAATTGACAGGGCCAGGCTGTTGAGTAGCCTGATGGATTGCATGAACTTCAGAACCGCCATGACCCCCAAGTTGGACCATCGCGGTGTCATGCTCCAGGTTAAGCAATCGTTGACATTCTGAGGTGATGGCCTGCAACGTCACTGATGGGTCCTGTTCAATGCGGCTTAGGAGTCGGGTACGGATTTCCGCATCGTTCGAGGGTGGTAGACCGCATATGAATATCAGCGACTTGAACTGATCTTTCTTTAGTGATCCCAGTTGGAACCGTTCGCATTCCCGGTTCACGACGCCAGAATAAGTTAGCAAGTCGTCCGCGTCACTTTTCACCAGCTTTGGGCATCGATAACGCATGTTGAAAATTGACGTTTGCTCGTCAAATATTTTCGAAAGCGTGTGAACCGTTTAATCAAAGGTGAAATCACGTGGGTTCTTCAGGAGAATATAGTTTGTATATTTATCATGCTCTGTGGGTCCAAGTTTGCGGAGCAGGAGACCAACCTTCCAACTATCATCCTGAGTTGAAAAATCGACCGTGAACGGGTCTTCATAGCAACGAAACCACGCATCAAACGTTATGCCGGCCGATAGTTCGTGGCAAAACCCGTCGATACTGCCAGCGATTCCGTCAACCGACTGGGACGTTCGAAACAGCCGGTGAAGCCAAAGATGTAGTTGATAGTCGCATCGTAAGTACTTTTATGAGTTGCAGTTGTTGCTCAAACATTACTTTGAGCTCACCTGCTTCCATCTGGAGTCGCCAAATATGTCACGGTTTCGATCACGCGGCGAGTAAGGATAATAGGCGCGGACCGTAACGATATGCTGTCCCCAACTATGTTGTCTGACCCCGACTCCTAGTACAGCGGAATGGTAAGAAGACGAAGTGTTCTGTTCCCAACAAGCGATTAAGAGGCAACAGCATATATATATATATATATA